AGGCGGGGAAGGCTTCTCAGAGAGCGAAGGCTACTCAGAAGTCCCGCCGCCTTCTGAGAAGACCTGACCCCTCTCATTCCCCCCGTGTGGACACAATGTGTGCATGCGATGGCGCACGTGCATAGTTATTTGGGTGCGATATATTTTCTCCGCCGTGCAATGCACGGAACGATATGATACGAATATGCGCATTTGTTGTACTAGCCCTCCCCTCTCCTCGCTCTTCCTCCTTCTTCCCTCCCCTCCTCGCCCTTCTTCAGCTTCACAGTCGGGCGCTTCCGTTCTCTGCCTCGCAATCGTGATGCGCCCCGCTTCTAAGCGTCGCAACCCCGATGCGTACCGCTTGTGCTTCACATTCGAATTTCCGTACAAACACAATCAATTTGCCGCGTTTTCCTTGCATGTCCCAGAGAGTTGCTAATTGAGCACTCTTCTCGCCAACGCGTCCTTCTGGATGCTAGGCTTCAGTCAGTCAGTCAGCTCCCTTGCGGGCTGCGAACTGCGCAACTGACACCAATTTCGTGGGCTCCTGGGAAGCACGGCGGAGTCTGGGAGTAAATGGATCATTTGAAACCTCGCAGCTCCCTGAGAGGCTGCGAACTGTGCAAGCGTCAACACGTTCGTGGGCTCCTGGGAAGCATGGCGGAGTGGGGGAGTCAACGTACCAATTTGGAACCTCGCAGCTCCCTGGGTGGATGCGAACTGCGCAAGTGTCGCCACTATCGTGGGCTCCTGGGAGGCACGGCGGAATCGGAGAGTCCACGAAGCCAACCCAGACCTCCCGGCTCCCTAGGCAGCTGCGAACTGCGCAACTGACACCGCTTTCGCTGGCTCCTGGGAGGCGTGGCTGAGTCGGGAAGCAAACGGACCATTTGAACCCTCGCAGCTCCCTGGCGGGCTGTGATCTCCGCATCCAAAACCACTTTCGTGGGCTCCCGGGAGTCAACGGACCATTTGGAACCTCGCAGCTCCCCTGGGAGGCTGCGAACTGCGCAACTGTCGCCTCTTTCGTGGACTCCTGGGACGTCCAGCGGAGTCGGAGGCCACGCGCATCCAGACGAGACCTCGCAGCTTCCTGGCGGGCTGCGAACTGCGCAACTGTCGCGCAACTGTTGCCACGTTCGGTGGCTCCCAGAGGGTCCAGCGGAGTCGCGGCCCACCCGCACCCAGACGAGACCTCGCTGCTCCCTGGGGGGCTGCGAACTGTGCAACTGTCGCCACTTTCGTGGGCAACTGGCAGGTCCAGCGGAGTCGGGGGCCACGCGCACCCATTTGAGACCTCGCTGCTCCTTCGAAAGTGGCGAATTGTACAATTGTTGCCGCTTTCGTTAGCTCCTGGGAGTCCAGCTGAGTCGGGGACCACCAGGCGCAGGTCCAGCCGAGACCTCGCTGCTCCCTGGGAGGCTACAAAATGCGCAAGCGTCGCCACTGTCGCAGGCTCGTGAAGGCACGGCGGAGGTGAGGGCAGCGCAGATCGTGCATGTCTGGCGATGTGTTCTTTTGGTATGGAGCGTTCAAACAAATATTCGCCTCGCGTGGAGCAGGTCCGGGTCCAGACCGCGACGGCGTGGATATGGACATGCGACTCCCCGCCCACCGCATGTCCACACGCGGCTCTCCGCCCACCACATGTCCATATCAGCACAGCCCTCACACGTTCCGTGGCCCCATTGGGAGCTCTACCGAAGGCCCCAGTGGGTGCGACCACATGGGGCTCGTCGCCCATCTCGGCACATCCCTCACACGTTTCGTGGACCCGCAGGGGGCTCCACAGAAGACGATATTCACAACTGTGGCGCTCACAACTGCACCTGGCTGGCCGACGACGCAAGACCGCGAGGGCGTGGGTATGTGAGGAGAAGAATTAATGACCGTGTTGGGAGGAAGGGGTTGGGAGGACGAGCGAAGGGCGTGAGCCATAGCATCCGCATGCAATGCACGATACCCCAGGTAATAACTCCCAACCCCATCCTCCCAACCCGACCGATGACTGCATTCCTGAATAATGATGGGGGACGGAACACCGCGGCGGGCAGGCGGCAGCAAGAGAGGCTGCTCCTGCCGCAGCACCGCATCCCCGCGGCCCAAGGGTTGGAGGGGGGGGGTGCGCCAGGCGGCGCCGCGGGGAGGCGCGCGGGGCCCCGTGCGGTGCTCTTGGGCCAGCTTGGGTCAGTGGGGGGGAGGAAAGGGAGGGGAAGGGAAGGGAGTCGGCGGCCGCCTTCGTCACGACCGCTCTTGCTCGAGTGAGGCGAGGGAAAGGCAGGATGGGAGAGGGCGGAAGGGACCCAGACCCCCGGCGTCACGATTTTTTCGTGGTGTCGACCCTCGAGTTCTCGACCCGTTCCCAGGGACCGCTTTCTCATCCCGAGTCGCTTTTCGAGGGCCCCGGGGCCCGGCGAGGGCCCCCAGAGGCCGAAAATGAAGGAAAACCTCCCATCCTGATTCATGTCACGACTCGAGGGGGTCTGGGGAGGGAGGGGGGAGGGAACGGCGCAGCGCGGAGGAGGAGGAGGAGGAGGAGGAGGAGGGTGATGGGGGAGGAGGAGGAGGGAGGAGGAGGAAGAGGAGGAGGAGGAGGAGGAGGAGGAGGAGGAGAAAGGAGGAGGGGGACGGGGGAGGAAGGAGGAGGAGGGGAGGAGGAGGCGGAGGAGGAGGAGGAGGAGGAGGAGGAGGAGGAGGAGGAGGAGGAGGAGGAGGAGGAGGAGGGGTATGGCGGAAAGGAGGAGGAGGAGGAGGCGGAGGAGGAGGAGGGGGATGGGGGAAAGGAGGAGGAGGAGGAAGAGGAGGAAGGGAGGATGATCACGGAGGGGCAAAGGCAGGAGGAGGCCGAGAGGCACGGGGAGATGGCCCCAGGAGCCACCCGGCGGACGGCCAAGCGCCCGGTCGTCGCGAGGCGCCCCGCGGCGCAGCCCGATCGGCCTCGGCCGCGGGCCGCTGGCCAGGTCGCCGTGGTCGTCGTCGTCGTCGTCGTCGTCGTCGTCGTCGTCGTCGTCGTCGTCGTCGTTGTCGTCGTCGTCGTCATCGTCGTCGTCGTCGATCGTCGTCGCGAGGCGCCCAGCGGCGCGACCCGACCGGCCTCGGCCGCGGGCCGCTGGCCACACCAGTCTGGAGGAGGAGGGGGGGTAGGAACCCAGGAAGTGCCGATCGTTCGAGCCTCCTGCCTCCCTTCCTCCCCAGACCCCCTCGAGTCATGTAGAAATCGCGGCGGCAGGTTTTGAAGCATTTTCGACCGCAGGGGGCCCTCGCAGAGCCTCGGGGCCGTTGAAAAACGGCTCAGGATGAAGAACCGGTCCTGGGGAATGGGTCCCGACCTCTGGAGTCGATGCCCGTCCTTTGCCCTTCGGTTCGGCGGCGACCGAGGGGGGGAAGTGAGAAGGAGAAGGCCCTGTCAGAAGGCGGCGGAGCTTCTCACCAGACCTCCGGGCTTCTGAGAGATTTGTTGTGTCTTCGGGCAAGGTTCAGGAAACTGTTCGGAAGGCCAGGGGACTTCCGAGCCTTCTGAGAGGGCTGAGGGACTTCCGAGCCTTCTGAACCTTCCGACCCTTCCCACCCGGACTGGCCGCCGAGGGTAGGAACCTTGGAAGCGCTGCGAAGGAGACGCGCAAAGGGTTGTGCAAACGTATCGGGGGTTGCTAAAGGTGCCCCTGGCCCAAGGTGCCCCCAGCTTTTGTTTGCTCCATGTTGGAGCTCCTGGGGTCCTCTGGGCCTCGTGAGGGGTACTCTAGAGGCCACGGGGGCCTGCTTGGAAAGCCTGAGGGTAGCTGCCGCGGCCTTCTCCCGGAACGCTCTCTGAAACGGATTTAGATCCTAGTCCTAGGAACCCAGGAAGCGCTGCTGCGAAAGAGAAGCGCAGAGGGCTACGGCACACGAATCAAGAACGAGCAGGAAAGCGCTTCCAGGAAACGCTGCAATCTGATGCAAATGTGTGGGGATGTATGACCGGCAGCTGGGAGAGGAAGCCGGCCTACCCTTGCCGGGCAGGGGGGGGGAACTTCGGATGATTTTCCGACTAAAACTATAGAGACCCGGAGAACCACCCTCAGAATCAACACCCCGACAAGCGAAGCCGTGATTAGTAAACGCACCCAAGAAAAGGAATCGGACAGAACAGGGTTGTTTAGTAGACGCCAAGGCCGCTTAACAAACACCAATTATGGAGGTCGAAATGTCATCCCCTCTCTTGACAGAACTGCGTGAGAAAAAAACGCCCCAAAAAGATTCACAGAAGGAGGGCTGATCTTTCCGCCTCACGAAAAATACGGTGGATACCTCCGCAAGGGTCTGGCGGAGACAGCGACGGCCAAGGAGAGCGGAAATCAGAATCACAGGACCTCGAAGAAGGTGAGGCGACGTTCCCCGCGCCACTGCCGAACGCGAGCGAAGTACGGCGGATCCGAAGTCAGGGAAGACGGGACAAGGCATGGCTGGGGAAACCAGAAGGTACCGATACCGCTACTCCCCGGACCTCTCCCGGGGTGCGTTCTGACCAGAATTTCGAAGCGGATCCAGCGGTGGCGACGAGGGCCTCCGGGGAGGCCCAACAAGGGGAGAACGGGCCGAAGGGTAGCGGTATGGGAACCTTCTTCCCCTTTGAATGCAGTGGAGCTCCGAGTCGACGGCGTCGAGGAGTCGGTGCTCTGCGCGCTGCGATGGCAGCCCGACCTCGCTCGCAGGCGCAGGCTGGCCTGGCGGGAGCCACCCATGCGGCGCCCTCCAGAGCGCCCCCCCCGTGGAGGCGCGCCGCCTGGGGGGTTGGCCTTCACACCGCAGCGAGGCTCAAGGATCGAGGCTCGAGGATCGCGGCTCGAGGCTCGATGTTCGAGGATCGAGGCTCTGGGGCGTTTCTCGTAGTTTTCGGGCCTCGAAAGTTCTTCCCGACGCCATGGCTGGATTCCGCTTGAAACTCTGGTCAGAGCTCACCCGGGAGCAAGTCCAAGGGGTCGTCTCGAAATCCCCGGCGTCTCCACAACGCGGGGCGCCTCGAAAACGCGGGCGGTGTCCTTGCCGTTGACGTGGAAGCCCTCGTGGGGCTTCACCTTCAGGCGGTCGCCGAGTTTGACCTCGCCGAACGAATACGTCAGCTTGCCCTTCTCAGGGGCAGTATAAAGGGGTCCAGAGACACACACACACACACACACACACACACACACACACACACACACACACACACACACACACACGCACACACACGCACACACACACACACCTAGAACTACACACATCCCAGGATTGCCCATATTTTCCTATACTTTCTGGGTCCCCGTCTTCTCCTCCACTGTCTATATTTTCTCCTATTTCCTGGAGGGTCGACGAGTAATTGTGTGTGTGTGTTTTTTCCCCTCCTGATGGTAGAGGTGGAAGAAGAGGTCCCTGGATGTCTCAAGATGAGGTATCCAGAAGTCTTCCGGGGACGCGGAAGATCTACAGCCATCGCGTCACTGCCAGGACCGATGAGCGAGGAACAGAAGAGATGTTCTGGCCACGGCGAGACTCGGCCCTTTTGACTGTGAGGAGTTCTCCGGTGCACGCGACGCCCAGGCTGGTTGGGATCTTCGCCGGGATTCTTTCGGCGGAAGGCCGGACCCAGAGGCGGACCAGAAACTCCCAAACCGGAGGCTGGACCCCCAATTCCGGAAGGTGCCCCTGCTCCTTCGTCCTGGACGGCTGGTTTCCCCCATGCGAGGTGCGCCCAAGCACGAGAGCCTCTTCGGGGCATCGGCGCTGGACCCACCTCCCCGGCGAGGCGGAGCGCGCCAGGGGCGGCGCCAGAGGCGCCGCCAGCGGACGTCCAGCGCCGACTCGAGAAATCTGCGCGGCCCGCTGGACATTTATGTCTTTTACCCTGCAGGCGGGCGCCAAATATCACTGCGGCGAGGCTCCACTCCTTGACCGTCGGTCGGAAAGAGTGGGTAGAACCACGGAGCAGGAATGCGCTGAAATCAGAATAGGCTTCCCTCCGCTCCGGGAAGGGGAGGGACGAGGGACAACCGTTCGACCCTTGACGTAGGAGGGTACTTAAAGTAGACTGGAGCTCGGACGTTCATATTCCCCGTTCGTTTTTCGGCCTCGTGCGTTCATTTCTCGCGAGAGGATCCGAGATTATCCTCGATCATCCTCGCCAGGGAAACATGCACACGTCCGAACGATGCCAAGAGAACAAGGGAACTCGGGGGCGGCCAAGAGGGGGGCGCCCAAAAGGGGGGGGGGTGCAAATCATGGCCGGGGGCATGTGCGCGGCCCAGGGTGGGGGTGGGCCAGGGACGTCATGAAACAAGAAGAGGCGCCATGAGATCTGGCGAAATACCGTGGCCCACGCCATGATATCCCCCCCCCCCCTGGTCACCCACCCCCCTCCTCGCCGACCCCGAAGGAGACCCACGTTCCACGACCAGCCCGGGGCACGCGTGGCCGACGGCCTCGGAGAAGGGCCCAATGGAGAGACCATGGCGGCTCGCCCGCTGGGCCCGCAGCCGCTCGGAGGCAACGCCCGCACCCCTCCCAGGGTGCGTCCTGCCCCCCCGTGTGAAAAGCAGCTGGCGTCTTTCTACACACCTCCCCCCCCCCCCCAAAAAAAAACAGGGCTAGGATCGGGATAAATCGCTCCAGAGCGTTCCGGAGCGCTCTCAGAGCGTTCCAGAACGCTCTGGAGCGGCCGCGGCGCCCAATACATCCTCCAAACCCGCCGATTCTCAGAGATTTCGAGTTATCCCGATCCGATTTTGTCCCGATCTTCGCGTCGTTTTGCACCTCCCCTCCCCCCCAATGTCAATGTTCAATGCCGTGCCGATGTTTGTTCCGAACCTCGCCGGTCGCGCGAGGTCGGGAATGCTCCCCTGCAGAAAGATGGTTGTAAGACAAATGAAACTTGGCAGAAGGATTTTGGAAGAAAACTGAAACTCAGCCGAAAAATGCCCAAGAGTAGTCCAGATATGGAAACACAGCAGAAGGCAGTCGAACAAACATCGTTCCCAGACGTTTTGTTTGACTCCTCTTGAAGACTCCTCCTGTACAGTCGGGCTGCTGAAATAAGGAACGATACATAAGGAATGAAGCCCCTCTGCGGCTTCAAAAAAGCCAGGGTGCACGAGAAGGGCTAGAGGAGCAACCGCGGAAGGACGTAAGGAACATCGAGCCCCTTCCGAATCCAAACTGTTCCTTATTTCAGCGTCTTGGCTGTAGAGCAGCATGCCCGACTTCATCCTACAGCCCGCTCTTCGAGGCGTGCCCCGCCGTGGCGGCGGGACGCCTCTGGGGGAAGACCCCCAACGAGGCCAGACAACAGACTTCCCAGGGAAGGCTGCACTGTCCTCGACCGGCCCCCAGAGGAGAAGGAGAAGAGGGAGGAGGAGAAGAAAGAGGAGGAGGAGCAGAAGAAGGGAGGAGAAGGACGGAGGAGAAGGAGGAGGAGGAGGAGGAAGAGAAAGAGGAGGAGGAGGAGAGAAGGGGGAGGAGGGGAAGAGGAAAGGAGGAGGAGAGAGGGAGGAGGAGGAGGAGGAGGAGGAGGAGGAAGAGGAGGAGGAGGAGGAGGGGATGGGGGAAGAGGAGGAGGAGGGGAGGAGGAGGGACTAGGGGAGGAGGAAGGAGAGGAGGAGGAGGAGGAGGAGGAGGCGGAGGAGAGGAGGAGGGGGGGGGAGAGGAGGAGGAGGAAGGGGGAGGGGGGGGGGGGGGGGGGGAGAGAGGAGGGGAGGAGGAGGAGGAGGAGGAGGCAGGAGTAGGAGGCAGGGAGGAGGAGGAGGATGAGGAGGAGCAGGCTCGGCGGCGAGCCCCAGGGAGGAAATGGCGTGGGCAGGGGGCAGGCCTCTCGGTTGTGCGGGGCTCCCTTCGCCGCCTTCCATCGAAAAAGGAAACACGCCATGAACGTACACTTTCGGCCGTGGACAAACCTCAACTTTAGTAAACCCTACCCCTTAGTGGAAAACGGCCTGGGACCGAAACCGACGGACCTGGACCCGCAAAAATAACGGCCGCGACTGAGATCGAACCGATAACGGCCAATTCCTTACTCGACGTGTCAGGGTAGGAGGTCTGTCCACCCCCGAACTTTCGGCGCTCCGCGCGGACTTCTTGGATCCGCGCCGGGCCCCTCTCCCCGGCGCGCGGGGCGCGCCAGGGGCGGCGCCAGAGGCGCCGCCAAGGGGGGCCCCAGCGCGGTCCAAGAATCCGCGCGGAGCGCACAAATTTATGCTTCTGGCGTTTTGCCTTCCCGCCCCCCTCCCCTCCGCTTCCCCGCCCCCGCCCCCTCCGCGCCCCCATCCCTCCTCCTCCTCCCCCTCCCCCCCCTCCTCCTCCTCCTCCTCCTCCACCTCCTCCTCCTCCTCCTCCTCCTCCTCTCCTCCTCCTCCTCCTCCTCCTCCTCCCTCCTCCTCCCCTCTTCCCCATCCCCTCCTCCTCCTCCTCCTCCTCTTCCTCCCTCCTCCTCCTCCTCCTCCTCCTCCTCCTCCTCCTCCTCCTCCTCCTCCTCCTCCTCACGGCCGTCTCAGAAGGCGCGAGGGCCTCTGAGGAGCCCCGCCGCGCTCCGAGGCGGCCTGCCCCCCTCCCGCTTCCTTTCCGGGGGGCGCCGCCGATCTCGACGGCACCCGGGCGACGGGTCCCTCTCGCGCGCGGTCGCCGGTCGGGTCGGGCGGGCGGAACATTCAGCTCCACCGAGACCGCGGCGCGGCCGGGCACCCCGCAGCCACGGCGTGCGCCGCCATCCGCTGCGGCCTCGGAGCGGACGGTCCGCGCGCCGGCGCCCTCGTCTCCATGCGCGGCGTGCCGCGCCGGCGGTCGCCGGTCGGGCGGGCGGGCGCGCTCGACCGAGACGGGCGGATCTGGTTGGGCGGGCGGGACATCAAAGTGCGGGGCGCGCTCGACCGAGCACGCGCGAACCCTAACGGGCAGGTCGGGGCGGGCGGGCGGGCCCTACAGCGGGCGGGTCGGGTCGGGTCGGGCGGGCGGATCCTAGCGGGCGGGTCGGGTCGAGCGGGCGGTACATTAAAGAGTGGGGCGCGCTAGACCGAGCACGGGCGAACCCTAACGGGCGGGTCGGGTCGGGCGGGCGGACCCTAGCGGGCGGGTCGGGTCAGGTCGGGCGGGCGGGACATCAAAGTGCGGGGCGCGCTCGACCGAGCACGCGCGAACCCTAACGGGTCGGGTCGGGTCGGGCGGGCGGGCCCTGGCGGGCGGGTCGGGTCTTGCTGTGGTGAACCTGGGGGTTGGGTTGGGTTGTAAGGTACTTGCAATGTAGTTGTAAGGTAGTTGTAAGGTAGCTGCAACAGAGTTGCAAGTCGGTTAAGCGTTTGTAAGATCAGGTATCTTACGTAGCTACCTTAGCAAGTCGCATAACATTTGCATCAATTGGCCAGCACTTGTCTTACCTTATCTTGACTTAGGCCGAGTTGCAACTTGACGCAACGACATTTTGTTGATGGTTGAAGTGGGATTTGCCCAATGTTAAAATCAGAATGCCACTTCACATTTTTGTATGCGGGTGGGGCCCGCTTTGTTCCTTTTTGATTTTCAAACGTTGCCCACGGGGCAATTATGAACTGAATATTTCAAATGCGTGAAGACGCATCCGTCGCTGGATTCTGTGCCAAGTGGCAATTGCACGCTCGACGAGCGACTCCGCGATTAAGTTTGGTCTGCGTTTGCAGCAACTGTACTCCACGACGCGTCGCAATTAGTTTTTTTTTCACGCATCATGCATGAATTCGGTACAACGCGTGGCATTATTTCAAGTGAGACCGCACTATATATCAAGAACAGATTGCTGCCGCAGCATTGGGACTTGCAGTGGCGATGTGTAGGCGTGTCAGGCTCGAGCTCGCTTCTCTCTTCTGCAGCTGCTGCATTTCCAGTACGCACGATGCAGAATTTCTATCCGCGGGAGCTGGTGGATTTCATCAGCGGGCGCATCGAGATGCATCGCGATGGCAAGCTTGTCCCGATCACAGCTAGGAAGGATTGCGTCGACCGCCTTTTGAAGGATAAGGTCGCCAAGCAGGTCGTCGCCGAGGCTGACGAATTCATGATCCATCCCTCGAACCGTTCTGGTCTTGGCGTGAACGCCTACAACGTCCACAGGGTTGGCGCCATGCTCAGCAAGATCGGCGTTGACCCTGCAGAGCTCGAGAAGGCTGTTGCGTTCGAGCGCATGCCCGCGGATCCGATGAGGTCGTCCCAAGTTGCATTCAATCAAAAGTTGATCTCGTCCAGCAAGGGCATGCTGGCGCCGATGACGGGCGCGGAGAGGTTCTGCGCGGTGGGGGCGGGCCACGCCGCACAGTTTTTCAAGGCAATGAATTGTTCCACCCCTGAACCGACCCTCGCCGACCCGACTAGTCGGAAAATGAACGCCGAGACGTTGTCCAAGGACGTGCGTTTCCACGACGCCCTCAAGAAGGGCTGGCGTTGGACCGTCCTGCCGTCGCAGGCAGAAGTCACGTGGCCGCGCCCTCCAGATTTGGCACAGCGCGCCCTCAACGCGAGCAACAACGTTGCCAGTTTGATGTCGGAGCTCGAAGTGTGCGTGAGCATTGCAGAATTTGCAGAACTGATGCCACCTGGGTCTTCTTTCGGCGACTGCGTTGAAGCAGTGAAGATGAACCAGCCTCCGTGCCAGGCAGGCTACTTGGGAATGCATCTCTTGCAAATGCGCACGGCGCACGCGGGCGCGGCCACGGCGCGTTGAAACGCCGGCAACACGTTGCCGATTGCGTTTATCCGACATGCGTCTTGCATGCAGTCTGCGCTGTGGCCGCGCGCGCCCGTGCCGCGCAGCATCTGCGTGGGGGGGTGCGTGTCCGCCGAGAGGACTACATTGATAAGATTGGCAAGCTCGCAACGCACTGTGGCGGGGGATCTGGCGCCCCGTCGGTTAAGTTCATTGATCGGTTTGGCCAGATGTACGGTGGTAACAAGAAGCTCGGGCAGGATTTCGTTACGTCATATGTCGACGTCCATTTCGGTGATCTCGAGCCGTGCGTCTTCCCGCGCATCGCAAGCATCCCTGCGAACCTTGCCTCCGATAAGCAGTCGGACGGCGTGGCGAAGCTATTGGTCCCCAGCGACGTTGAGAGGTTGAAAGGCTAATCCGTCAAGGACAAAGCGATTGCGCTCGACAGGGACCTTCCCAAATGTTATCGCATCGCAGGCTCCCAGCGCGACAGCGGCCGCATCGATCTTAGAGCAGCATGACATGCTGGTTGGGAAGTTCTTCGCTCGTTCAATTTCGCGCTTAGTCGGGAAGGGCAAGCAAGGGCCAGAGGGCATCGTGTATGAGAACCAGGTTCCGATTATTTCAGGCTTCGTATCGGAGGCAGCCAGCATGTCTGGCTGCGGCGTTGTCATAGACACAGACGGCGAGTGGAAACCTCATGCGCCCCCTGAAGCCAGCGAGCCGCATTCTACAGATGACAGGGCGGTCGTGATGACCGAAGAGGACCTGCGCAACCCAGAGCGCATCTTGGCAACCAAAGGTTTCACTGTTGGGAGCGTCGTGTTTGAGCGCGCCGTGAGCGCGAATGCGGGGCTGTACAAGATAGCGTCCATTAGTTCAGCCGAAGTAACCATGGGGCAGCTGACTGCATTTACTGAGCCAACGTTTGACGTGAAGGTCGCCCTCGCGCTCTTCTTGAAGGAGTGGGCGTCGTACAAGAGCAGCGTGCTCCTTGCGGTGCCGATGTCTGCAGGGACGTGCGCTTCGGCGCATCATCTGATGAAGTTGGATGAGGCGCGTTGCACTGTGTTCAAAGCCCTCAAAGATTTCGAACTGATTGCCAATGATGGCACGATGTTGCAATACGGCCTTAACCCCAGCGTCGTCGTTGCTGCCCAGGGGATCGAGAAGGGCAAGCTCGTCCTTGCCCCGTTCTCTGAGCTGAACAAGATCAAGGCAGAGCCGTCGCAGGGCGCGGTCCAGGTCAAGTGCGGGTCCGCAGTGCTGTACGTATCGCCCCCGACGAGGGCGACCGACCAGCAGAAGGCCGAATCAGAAGATGTCTTCTTCATTCCTTATTGGTGGGTTCGGGAGACGGACAAAGAGGACCTTGCCAACGTGGCCCTCGTTCAACAGAGCACCGTCCATATCAGTCTCAAAGCTTACAAGAATACCAAGACCTTGCAGCAGTTCGACACATTGCTCGTTTATAAAGCCACGGAGCACCATGCGCCTTTGCAGTCTGCAAAGAGGGTCAAGCTCCCGGGGGGGATGCCAAGCCTAAGGGCAAGGCTAGGGCCAAGAAGAGCTAGGCCTTCCCCAAATGGCGACGGGCAGTTGCCAATTCCATCGGTTTAGTGCGACCACCATTCGCTCTCTGTTTGATTGCGCAGCGCAACGCGCCCCGCACGGTGTGCGAATGGCGCAGGTTAAAAGCGCCATGCGACGCACACTGCATGCACATGCAACGCTTTCACATTTGAGATATCGCCCAGTTGTGTTTCAAGGGCATACCACCGACCCCTCTCCGCAGCACTCATGCATGCTGTCGTTTGCGGGAGAGGCGCGGGTGGAGCCATAACGAGGGATATGCGAAAAAAACACATGCTCAACGTTACACCTGCAACTCTAATGTCTCTCCGTCTTTCCATATCTCTCCATCTCGATCAGCGCGTTGTTCCGTCACTCTCTCCCCTCTCAACATCTGTCTTGATCGTGCCGTCCTCTCTTTCGCGCGTCCGACTCCTCATGCGCGTGCCATGCGCACCGTCCATTGATGGCCCGCTTGTCAGGCGTTTTGCCTCGAGCGCTGCGCGCGTTGTGTTCGTGGGCCGTGGCGCATGGCCGCGCTGGAATGTTCGGTTGCTTGGAGGCTCGAGGTCAATGTTGGCGATCACACGTGGGCCCCCCAGGGCTGTTCAGAAATGCAGCGACGACGTGTACGCCATGATCCACCCATACGATTACAGTTTGATCAAATGTTTGTTGCTCTGCCCTGGGGAGGAATGCCCCAAGTCGACGGCCGGGCCATCTCTCGCCAACGCTCCTGGGTACAAAGCACTTCTTGCTGCGAGGAACGACCTCCTTCGTGAAGATGCTGCACCTATGCGCAACCCCCCGCGGCGCCTCTTTGCTCAGAGGAGCAGTCCGAAGCGGAGGCCCAAGCCAAAGCGTAAATCACGCCAAGAGATCAGGGCCCAGAGAGAGGGGCCGCCCATGGTGATGGACGTCGAATTGCCCTCAGTCGGCGACGTGGCCTTCCCATCGGTCACGCTGCTGCTCCCAGTCAGGGGCACCAACCATATGTGGGTCAACGCTTCCGACGACTCCATCTGCACGCTCGCGCAATACATCTTCGCGCACGGCGTCGCGACCGCCGCCGTCAAATCAAAGAGGTCGTAGTACAAGAGGGGCGGTGCCGACGATGAGGATGAGGATGCCAGCGCGCTGCAGGACAAGAGTGATCACGAGGTCAACGATAGTGATGCACGTGACCGCGCAGATGCGCCAGGTCGCGATTGTTAATATTACGCGGCCAATGTTTCACATCGGCACCTGCCAGTGCGTACCAGCAATTGTTCGCATATAAATAAAATGCACAGAGGTAGGCAGCGTTGCTCCGTTGCTTTGCGCATGCCTGTCTTCAGCGATACGTTGCTCGACATTTGCCGTGCCAGATACGCTCGCCGCATGTTTGCCAAGCTTGGCCATTCATTTGCTTGCAGCACCTCCACCTCCTCCTTGATTGCACCCTCGCCGCATTGCCGTTTGTGCTCCAGCCTTTCGCGGCAATAGCTGCACCAGCCTGCGGCGCCGCGGGCCTGCCGAGGCCCCCGCGAGCCCCTCGAGGCACCCGCGGCCCCCATCGAGGGCTTCAGGGGCCTGCCGAGGCCCCCGCGAGCCCCTCGAGGGCTTCAGGCGCGGCCCCGCGTTCGGGCGCTCGACGCCATGTCGGCTGCGCGCGAGCTCCTGGCTGGGCCAGCGCCACCAGCAGCTGATGCTGGTCAGCAGGGCGACGCCCAGGAGATTACACACGGTAAAATTTATCAACCCGCCCGTCTTCGCCAAGCTCACGCCGATTCGTCGTGCGCCGATCGCGGCCCACGACGAGGCAGCGCGAGCGTGGACTGCGCAGACGGTGGCGCGCTGGGCGCGCCATCGTTGCAGCTCCCACTGCAAAATCAGGCCCCGATGGGCCTCGTGGAGGGGGCTTGCACGCCCCAACCACCCGGACTGTTTCTGTTTTTTGGTCGGCCTCCGCCGAGGACGACGCCAGGGCGGCCAAGCGCGCCAAGCCGTCGCGGCCGTGCAGCGCGGGCTTCCAGCTGCTGCTCACCGCGGTGGAGGCGCGCAAGGGCGAGCGCGTGGCCAAGTTCGCGGACAGCCTCGCGTTCAGGAGGCTGCAGGGCAGCAACGAGGACAGCAACGACGGCCTGGTGCAGTGCCTGCAGGGCGTGCACTACAAGGCGGGTTACGCGAACGGCTCGCCGATCTATCGGCAGGAGCCTGGCGCGCCCGACGGGGCCAACAGCAGCGAGCTCTTCTTGGTGTACATTGTGCACGCGGACGAGGAGTGCAACTTCTCGCGCTGGGCGGTCTCCAGCACGTTGGACGTGGGTTCGATCTTGCGCTACCCCGACGGCTGCGTGTACGCCAGCGGGATCGGCGACCAGACGACGCGGCCGATCGAGCTCTTCAAGGCTAAGGGGCGGGCGGGGGAGGGGTGGGGGATATTGAATTTTGCAGTGCGCCTGCAACAGCGGTTGGCCTACGACGGCCCATGGGGCTGACTGGGCCCATATAGGGCTCGATGGGCTATCGCCCCCCCTCCTGCTCCTCCGCCCCCCCCTCCTCTTTCTCATGCCTCCCCTCCTCATCTTTTTTTCCTTCAGCCTCTTCCAGCTTCCTCCTCCCTCCCCATGCCCTTGTCTTTCCCCCCTCCTCTCCCCTTCCTGCTTCGGGGCAGATGCGTTTGTGACCCCACTGCCCCCTTTCCCACGGGCGGGAGGCCGTCGCGCGTGGAAAAAACATACCATTGCCGACCAAAGCGGGCCATGCACAAAACACGTTGTTTTTCATATGTTGTAAGATCGGGTTCTGGCGCGTTCGGTGTGTTTTTTTTTTTCCACGCGCGACGGCCTTCTGCCCGCGGGAAAAGGGGGGCAGTGGGGCCACGAACGCACGCTGGCTCGGCGGAGGGCTGGCGACAAAGAGGGGCGGGGATGGGGGCAACCGTCGAACCGAAGAGGGGGGGGGAGCCGTCAAACCGAATCTCGGGCGGCCAAAGAAGGGATGGGGAGCTGTAAGGGAAGGGGGATGAGGAGGAGGATGAGGAGGAGGGCAATGAAGGGGATGATGATGAGGAGGAGGAGGAGTCGCCCGAGGGCCTCACGGATGAGCCGCTGCACTTCCTCGAGGTCGTGCACTACGCCGAGTTTCTCGAGAAAATGCTCGACGAGCAGGCCGCAGCTGCGGCAGCGCTTGCGCCTGCGGCTGCGCCTGATGCAGCGGCGGCTGCAGGGAGCGGCATCATCAGGGCGTGGCCTGCTGCGAAGAAGCAGCCGAAGCCGCCATCGACGCCACCGCCCTCGGTGCTCGCGCCGCCGCTCCCGCCGCCGCCCGCGGCGCCCACGCCGATGGACCGCCGCTGCAACAAGGGCGCCGTCGGCGGCGAGCAGGTGCGCGGCGGCTGGTCGGCGAGGCCCATGCGCTTGGCGGACAAGCACGCCGCCGAGGACTGGGCAGGGTGGGACGCAGTGATCGCGGCCATGGCCAGCGGCGAGATCCAGAAGGGCAGCGGCTGGTTCGCCGACCAGGGCGAGAAGGCCATCGAGGCCTACAAGAGTGCCGACTACGACACGGTCGAGCGCATCTTGGCCGAGGCCCGCGAGCGCTTCGACTCGAAGGGCCAGGGCAAGGGCAAGGGCAAGGACAAGCCCAAGTCGGGCAGATTTCCACTTTGAGAAGCTGGTGGGCGTCTCCGAGGCGCTCTCGTTCTTCTCTGAGGTGATGGGGGCGCTGCTATGAGGCACGTCGGTTTCGCAGCTGACAATGGCCGTGGGTGAACCACGGCGACTGCGCCCACGTCACTTCGAAGTGTGATCACATTGTGAAGTGTGTAGCCGGCCTCACTTGGAAGTGTGATCACACTTCGAAGCGCGATGACACCTCACTTCAAAGTGCATTCACACTTCGAAGTAACAGGTTATGCGCTTCGAAGTGTGATCGCACTTTGAAGTGACGTCGCCTCCGCACTTCAAAGTGTATTCACACTTTCAAGTGTTGTTATGCGTCCAGGCTCGTGCAGAGCATAAGAGATATATTTGGCTGAGCGCAGGCTCTTGGGCAGGCGCCATGACGCGCTGCCGCCTGCGCGGTTGCCACACATTCGCGTGGCCTATAGGAGGCCGCGCGCGATCCCAGCGGGATGATCGACCGCTCGTGGATCTGTGAACCACACCTCCCTCCGCCTCGTGCGTCTTGTCTCCAGCCGCCCTCACTCCCTCCGCCACAGACTGCATCGCCCTCCGATGCAGTCCTCATTCTCGTTACAACGCTTGTTGCATCGCCTCCCGCTGCTCTCCGATTCGCCAGATGTTCCTGAGATTGTGCATCATGTTGCTGCCCATTGCTTCCCTCTGACCGCCCGAAGGCTGCAGTCCACTGCGTTCGCGCCCGACGGCAATGTCTGCAGTCTACTGCATTAGCGCCCGACGGCAAGGGCTGCAGTCTACTGCATTCGCGCCCGACGGCAAGGGCTGCAGTCCACTGCATTCGCGCCCGCGGGGTGGGGATGGGGAGCTCCTCGCGCCCCCTTCGCGATGGCGCCGAAGGTGCGGGCTGACGCGGCGGCGCCGCCGCATGTGCCGCGGGCGCTGCGGCCGAGCGAGAAGGAGCAGATGAAGGCCAAGATCCGCGACCTCACGAAGAGTCGCAACGAATGGAAGGAGATGGCTCTCGGCCTCAAGCGCTTCGTCGAGGGTGTGGCCAACAAGTCGGAGCAGAACAAGTACGCGAAGCAGGTCTTCGTCGATGTGAGGCGCCTGTGGACTGGCTCGCGCTCCTGCGCCACGCAGTCGAAGCCGACGTCGCTCGGTCGGCTGCAGCGCCTTCATGATATGCCAGAGGTCTTGACTGCGCCGACCTCGCGAGCACGTCGTGCCTGTGCAGCCAGTTGCACGAGGGCGGGGCGCACGGGAAGGTCCTCGCGCTGCGAGGTGGGCGCGTTCCGCACCAGGCGGAGCGCCGTGTTTCTAGGACGATGATGATGATGGCGAGGAGGAGGAGGAGGAGGAGGGGGAGGAGGATCAGGAGAGGAGCAGCACGGCCAGGAGGGGGGGGGGAGGGGGGAGAGGAGGGGGGGAGGGGGAGGAGGAGGAAGGGGGAGGAGGAGGAGGAGGAGGAGGAGGATCGATGAGACGGATCTTGCCGAGCGATCTTGCCAAGCGAGCGCGGAGTTCCAGCCGCGCGCTTCTGCGCTAGACAAATGTTGCCTTCCACCGCCACCGCGTTTCGTTGCCTCGCGCTGTGATCCAGTTGCGGCGCTTCCGATGCCATGCCCCTGGCCCGCGCTCGCTGTTCGAACCAGGTTCAGCTGCGAGTCTGACACGCAAGCCCCCCGAACGGATACGCATCCATGCAGCCAATCGGCTTGGCACGCACATGAGATTGATGCCTTAAACCGACATCATGATGCTTTCCCATCTGCGCATTACCACTTGCACTCTGTCATGCATGCGATGCGCCCTGCGCAAGTTGTGACGACCCATGTAGTCGTTCATGTTTTTCTTTGTCAATTGCGATCGGCATTCCATGGCCGTGTTCGGATCAAGCCTCGAGGGGCTGCAGGTGCTGCAGGGGTTCAGGGTGCACCGCGCGCGTCCGACATGGTCAGTATCGAGGACATAACGCGCGACGTTTCTGACTTTTCGGACTTGTTGGCGAAGCGCCCCGACAGCGAGGAGCTGCAGAAAAACTTGTCTGCATCCCTGTGCGCTCGCATAATCACTCACAGCGCTTTCAGCGCCAGATGCTATCGTCCTCACCGAGTTGATTGAAAAGAAATGCACGGTAGCCTCCGCGAAGCGCGCAGTGCTGGCGGCAGTCGATATCAAGGTCGCCAACATCGCTGCAGCGGCCCCAAGTAGCATCAGCGATGCTGGGGATCAGACGGGCAAGGATTGGATGGTCCTGGAGGACTACAGAGCGTCGGAGACCAAGAAAATGGCCATCCTTGCAACACGGTTGCATCGTTTGGGAATCTTACAGCCAGCGCACGATAAGTGCTTGAAATGGGCAATGGTAGTATTGATTTCGTGCGAGCATGGGAACACCAAGTCTTGGCCTAGCTACCAGAGCATCTACAACAGCTTTCGCGATTTGGTGGGCCACATGAAAAACACGTCGGCCCCATTCACGAAGTCGACACTCACGACGTATCCCGAGCGCCCTGCGGATTTGCCCACATCTTTGCGCACGGCTGCTTATGATGATGACGACCCGCCCGTCGAGAAGTTCATCGACGCGCGCGCCTTCTCAGGCAAGCACGTCCCGTTGCGCGACAACAACATATTGCTCAAAAAAGAGCGGGCTGGCAACTGGCAGTCGTCTGGCTTTACCCCGCTTCAGACGGATCGGCGCGGTGGTTGGCACTCGAGCTGGGACGGCAACTCTGACTTGAATAAACTGGCCGCTCAGATCCATGGTTTGTACACTGCAGGGCAATCGGGCGCTAGCTCTGCCCACGCGCCAGCCGCGTCGTTCAAGCCAGGCAAGAGCATCATTGCAGGCGCGGCCCCTGCCGCAGATGCAGCTCGCGCTGCAGAGCCCAAGGTCACAGCACTCCCACTCGGCGACGGTGAAGCAGCTCCTGCTGATGGTGACGCAGCTCCTGCGGCGGGCGACGCAGCGCCCACTGCTGCTGGCGCAGCGTTGGCTGCGGATCGCGTCGCGCCGGAGGCGCACGAGAAGAAGGCGTTCGACGCTTTGGTGACGAAGGGCAAACGCAAAGCCAAGGAGAGGCCCGCTGCTGCAACGGATGTTGCAAAGAAGCCAGCGGCGGCCAAGAGGAGGCCCGCTGCTGCAACGGGCGTTGCGCCCGCCCTGAAGAAGCCCGCTGCAACGTCGTGGGCGTTCAAGGGCGGTGTCTTCAATATCGTTTTTGAACCGTGTGGCGGCCAGTGCACGCAGAATGCGGTCGCTTCCAGGTGATACGGAGGGGCGCTCAAGTGGGCCAAGGCAAACGGCCGCACCGAGAAGCAGGCGCTCGACTATGCAAAGGATGCATACAGGTCGGCAAGCGAGATGTGGAGGAGCAAGAAGAACGCTTGATATATGTCAAATATGTCGAGCATCAGCGCTGATTGGATGCGTGAGCTGACGGGTCTCTAATGCACTATATGAGTATAGAGTATGGGTTGTGCGTCATTGCTCGCATCTTGTTCCTTCGGAGCTTTGCGAATCGATCGCCGCTAGCGTACCTATGAGAAAACAATGTATCGCATGCCGTTTGCCTTGCCTGCGCACTTGGGCGCGTCTCTCCGCGTGTTTACGCGTCGGCATTTGCGCATGCAGCGCGCGTTCCGCCCATCGCTGCAGCGCCCCCTGCAATCGCGCCCGTGGCGCGGCCTTCGGGCTTGCAGCTGCGGCTGCAATGTTGTTTGTGTGATTGCACATCGCGGTATACCATGGTCACGCGCTCAGGGGATGTGATCGGCGGAGGGGTCCGTTCTCAGACGGGGGACGCAGGGGGGGTGCATGGGGCAGTGGGGCACATGTGGGGAAGCATGGGCGAGGTGAGTTTGGGGAGGGGCGGGCGCACGAACAGCCGATGCAGTTATGACTGCATGTGCAATTCAGGCAGCACACATGTGCCCTCTGCAATATTGATTGCAGTTTTGATTGCATGAGCGCACTCAGTTGCAACTGCAGGATCTCTGCATTCACAGATGCGTGCAAGCACGCGCGCCCGATTGCAGGACATGCGTTCAGAGGCGCAGGTGATTGCGCATGCCATGCGCACGCTGTTGCCATGCAATCCTTGATGTGCTCGGTGAAGTGGTGCGTGCAGGTGTCTGCAACGGTGACTGCGCCCGTGGTGCAAGCATTCTTTTCAAATGATGAGTCGCATCTGTTTCAGGCCCCCCATATTTCCTATGCAAACGCATGCGCTTCTATGCGCCATCGGCGCGCCAACCCCCATGCGCGCAGTTGCCGTATATAGCTCGAGGGCGGGCTCGCGGTTGCGCTGCTCATGGTGCCCAAACCTGACAAGTACCAGAAGATAGAATCCTTGAGGCGGAAATGTCCGCATGTATCTGCTGCTGCACTGGCTGCAATCTTGGACGAGGTCACGTGGGAACCCTTCTCAGCATCACGGAAGGATATCCGTGATGCTAGAGATTCGGTCATAAACCAGTCGACTCCTTATGGTACCTTGTTCCGTGAGATCACTTGCTCTGCCGAGGATTCAGAGATTAAGTTTCCTGTTGCCAATCTCCCTGCAATATTGTACGTGGCGTACAACCAATGCAGCAACTGGCGGGCCCTCATTCAAAAGACTTTGGCGGCGAGGCCGTGCTCTTTCGAGCGACCGTGGTCGTTGATATTTTATTCTGACGAGGTAACACCAGGCAACCAACTATCCCCAGACAATTCAAGGAAGATGTGGATGTTCTACGTATCGTTTCTAGAACTGGGGCCAGAAGTGTTGTCGCAAGAGGATGCGTGGTTCTGCGTAGGTGCCCTGAGGTCAAAACGTGTATCCGATATAGATGCAGGCGTCGCACAGGCATTCAAATGCTTATAAAAGACATGTTTTGTAGGTCGGATTGCTCACTGCACACAACGGGCGTTTCATTGGAGCCTGGAGTCAGGTTACATTGCAAACTTGGGATGGTTCTCCAGGACGGCGGTGCCCAGAAGTTGGTTTGGCTGATTAAAGGAGATGCAGGTACCAAATGCTGCATGCTTTGCCGCAATGTAATTGCGATGGACAGCTCCCTGGTCGACGAAGATGGGGTGACCCTGCTGAGAGCAGACGTCATGCGTGAGGGTGACATCGATTTTGCGACGAATGATGACATCAGGGGGAGCGTGCGGCGGCTGGCTGCATTCCACGCGACGGACACCAACGCCAATTTCAAGACCTGCGGGGGGCCTACAAACTCAAAGGAGGGAGGATGACCTATAGGATGATGAAGGGTGGGAAGATGATGAAGGGGAGGGGGATTGGAAGGGGAAGGCGAGGATGACGAGTGTGGCCCCAGGATCCGCGAGCAAGCGTTCGGTTTCAACCACAATGAGCAGAACATGCTGCTCGATCCACAGCTGGATCGCATTATCTTACCTGTTGACCAGTATTGCCACGACTGGACGCACGCATTCTTTATTCGGTGTGTTTTTAAAATTTCGACGCATCTCTTTCTTGCAGGTTGTAAGAGTAATGGGTTGTCCAACGTATACTCATGTTTCGAGGAATGCATCAAGATGTGGTCACTGCCCATCGCGCGCGGCACCGCTGATAACTTGGCTAAGTTTTTTCTTTATAGAAGGGCCGCGATACTTCCAACGGCAAGGCGAAAGCGTTTAAGTGCCAGGCGAGTGAGGCATTGACTTTGCTGCCAATGACGCATACGTATATGATGACGGTTATATTGCCTGCAGGGGTAGCACGCGCGGAGTGCACCACTTTTGTTCGGTTGTGTGATTTGGTGTGGTGCATCGAAGCTGCAGCATCATCCCGTGCGTCTGCTGACGCTCTCAGGAACAGGACGAACGCGTTTCTGGATGCTTGTGAAGCAGCAGGGTGGCAGGAATACATGACGCCGAAGTTTCACTGGCTGGTCCATTTCCCAAGGCACCTGATCAAGTTCGGATGCCTCCTGTCGTGTTTTGTGCACGAGAGAAAGCACAGAGTGCCCAAGCGGTTCTGCAATGACATGCGCCAGCTGGCAGCTTCTGAGAGGAGCGTGCTGTCCGAGGTCACATGCCTGCATATGGCAAATTTGCGCAGCACCAACGTGTTCGACTTCTCGCCGCACTTGGTGTGCCCCAGGGCGGCACCTAAGAAGATGCACGCCTTCCTTGAGGAGAAGCTCGGCCAGCGCCTCCCCAGGGACAGCACGACCACGGTTTTTTCGGCTCGGGTGTCGACGTTGTCGACATGCCAATCCCGCGACATCGTGCTGCTCTCCGTTGCCAATGGTGGCAAGGCGTGTGGGGAGGTTTGGTTTCACGCTGCTGTAAACGGAACGATGGTATCGTTGGTTTCAATCTGGGACACCCCTCGCTACGATGATCGGCTCGGCGTGCTGACCGTGCACCCAACCGACGACGACTTGCAGCTGGTGCACACGACCGACATCATCACTGCCATGGCGGGGCGTTTGCCAAGTTTCCGAACCATCACCACCACTATACGGGCGTGCCGTCTGCAAGCAACTGTCCGCTTTGCACACGTGCAATTGTGAAAAATGCATGGTGGACATTTGCGATGTGGAACATCCGTTGTGGTTGGTTGGGAAGGTTCGAAGACTTGCAAGGCATGCAGGCGCCATGGAGGCGGATCAATCGCGACAGTGCCTCCCATGTTCAAGTGGTGAGACATCGCGTGAGCTGCTACCTGCTTTCTTCTGCGCAGCAGCGCACAAAAAATGCTTTCCAATGCATAGGTGTCGCTCGCCTTGCGCATCGCGCATAGAAAAACAACAATTCGGGAGCTAAAAATGCAGTGGCTGCACCTCAACATGCAAGTACTTGCAACTACTTGCGTTCAGTTAGCGCAACTTGTAAGTTCCGAAACCAACTTGCTAAGTCTGCTAAATCTTACAACCACCCAAGTTCACCACAGTGTCGGGCGGGCGGACCCCAGCGGGCGGGTCGGGTCGGGCGAGCGGGAGATTGAAGTGTGGGGCGCGCTCGACCGAGCACGCTCGAACCCTAATGGGCGCGTCGGGTCGGGCGGACCCTAGCGGGCGGGTCGGGTCGGGCAGTTTCGCCGACGGCTGCTGGTTTCGCCGACGGCAGCTGGTTTCGCCGACGGAGCTGGTTTCGCCGGGCGGCGAAACGGGCTGGGCGAAACCAGCCGGGCGAAACCGGCCGGGCGAAACCAGCCGTCGGCGAAACCAGCGGTCGCCGGCTTCCCCTGGCGATGTGGCACCCCCCTCTCGCTCGAGGCGCCCCCTGCCCCGAGCTTGGGGAGGCATCGTGGAGGCCTCCTCGCTGGAGGTGGCCCCCCCCTGGTGGTGGTGGTGGTGGTGCCGCTCCTCCTCCCCCCGAGCCGTGGGCCCTGCGGCGAACTCGCGCTGCGACGGCGCGCAGGCAGGCCCTCGGCCCCCGCGCGAAGCGCTCCCTCCCCAGACCCCCGGCGTCGTGATTTTTTCATTCCTATATAGAGGCCTCCTCGATGGGTTCCGAATAGATGGGGTCGAAGGATCGCGCCGCATCGCCAATGCATCGCCGATGTATCGGCGATGCATCGGCGATGCATCGGCGACGCCGGCGTGGGGAAGCACGGGCTCCACATCGAGCCGCATCGGCGATGCATCGGCGATGCGGCGCGATCCTCCGACCCCTTCTACTCCGATCCCATCTGGGAGGCCTAGAACTGCGTCGACTCCTGGAGGTCTCGACCCGTTCCCCTGGACCGGTTCTCCCCCCTGAGTCGTGTTTTGACGGTCTCGAGGGCCGGCAAGGGCCCTCAGAGGGTGAACATTGCAAAATACCTCCCGCCATGATTTGTTCCCAGACATGCGACGTCCTGATCTTTTCAGGACGGCGTCCCTGGAAGTGCCGACCCTTTCCCCCGGACCGGTTTCTCGTCTTGAGCCGTTCTTTGGCGGTCCCGAGGCCCGGCGAAGGCCCCCCGGGACCGCAAATAGCCGAAACCTCCCGTCCCGATTCCTGTTACGACGCGATCCTGCCTGGGCTCATTGCCCCATTCGGGTCGGGCGAAAGGGGGGGATAGCAAAGGGGGGGCTTGAGAATCAGCTTGCGTATAGCTGATTTTTCCGGCGCCTCCCGGCGCCGGAGGCGCCCATGTATCCAGGAATGGGCCCCTCGGTGAGGCCGAAATCCGCTGCATGCAGCTGTTTTCGTAACCCCCCCTTTCCCAATCCCCCCCTTTCGCCCGGCCCGACGCCCAGGGGGGTCTGGGCCCCCGGGCGGCCTCCGACGCGGGAGGCCCCCCCCCGCCGCAGCCGGCCCGCAAGGCGCGGCCCGCGAGGGCCCCCGCCCGCGCGGCGGGCGCGGCGCGGAGGGGGCCTCTCTCCCCGGCCGCGGCGGGCCTCGCCCCCGAGAGCGCGGGGGTCCCCGGCCCGCAGCCGGGGGTCGGCCCGAGCACCAGCCCCGGAGCCATGACTGCTTCCTTAGAAGAAGAAGAAGAATAAGAAGAAGAAGAAGAATAATAAGAATAATAATAATAATAAGAAGAAGAAGCAGAAGCAGAAGCAGAAGCAGAAGCAGAAGCAGAAGCAGAATAAGCATAATCACAATCATAAGCATACTAAGAAGAAGAAGAAGAAGAAGAATAATAATAATAAGAAGAAGAAGTATAACTAGTATGGTAATAATAGTAGTTAGAAGAAGACGAAGAAGAATCAGGAACACACAAACAAAACTCAACAGCCTAAGCACACACTTTCAGCGCCGCGCTTGGAGCGCGCCAGGGGCGGCGCCGGAGGCGCCGAGAGGGGGGCCCATGGCGCAGACTCCAGAAGTCCGCACGGGGCGCCGAAGGCCTCTGTCTGTGGCGCCGCTTTTTGGTCGTCGGAGCCTCCGGGGGCGAGGCGGGGCGCGGGGCCGGGCGAGTGGGCGCGGGGGCGCCGCACTCCTGCCGTCGAGGTGGGCGTGCTTCGGCTCGCCCCGGACGGGCGCGCCCCCCCGACTCGCAATAATTAGGAGCTCCCCGCCAATGGCTCGGACGGAGTCCGCCGTGGAGGACGCGCGGCAAAAATGGCGTCGATGCAGACGTGCGTTTTTTTTGTTTTTGTTTTTTTTGCTGACGCTTGCGAGCAGGCACTTCTGGGAGCCGCGGCGCGCGCTCGGGTGACGCACGGCAGCGTCGAGCGGCCGCACCCGTGCCGACGCGAGGCTGCCGCACGTGCTCCCCGCACGGCAGCGCCGCCACCCCCGGGGTCTGCCGCCTCTGCCCCTGCAGCCCCCCCTCTCGGCCGCCCTGGCCTCGGCCACCCTCCTCCTCCTCCACGTCCTCCTGGGACTTCTCTCGCTGGCTACTCCCCCTCCCCTCCTGTTCCTGCTCCCCCGCCCCCGCTCTCCCCCTCCTGCCCCGCCCTCCTTCCGCCTTCGCCCTGTCCTCCTCCTCCTTCCCCTGGCCTGGACCCTGCCCCTCCCCCTTCTACACCACTCCCCCTTCCTCCGTCGTCGTTGTCGTCATCGCGTCGTCGTCGTCGTCGACGTCGTCGTCGTCGTCGTCGTCGTCGTCGTCGTCGTCGTCGTCGTCGTCGTCGTCGTCGTCATCGTCGTCGGCGTCGGCGTCGGCGTCGGCGTCGGGGTCGTCGGGGTCGTCGGCGTCGTCGGCGTCGGCGTCGTCGTCGCCGGCGCCATCGTTGGCGTCAGCGTCGGCGTCGGCGTCGGCGTCGGCGCGGCGCGCCTGGCCTCCTGGTCCTCGAGGCCTGCGGGGCGGCTCGGGGCGGCGGGCGCGCCGCGGCGCGTGCCGCGGGCGAGCTCTTCGCAGCGGCTGGCGGCGTGGCACGACGTCGATGACGACGACGACGACGACGACGACGACGACGACGACGACGACGACGACGACGACGACGACGACGACGACGGCGAGCTCTTCGCAGCGACGACGGCGAGCTCTTCGTGACGGCGGCGGCACCCCAGACATGCCCGCGTCGTGACAGTCGACGGCGGAAAGTTTTGGTAATTTTCAACCTCCTTGGGCCATCGCTGGGCCCCGGGACCCTGCAAAAACGACCCGGGGTGCCAAACCGGCCCTTCCGGAAACGGGTCGAAAGGGGTCGGGGGGCCCTCTGCTGAAAAAGTCCAGACATCGCATATCTCAGATTTGCGATGTCTTGATTGTTCAGTGCGGACTCATTTGAGCAGGGACCGAACGTCCCTGCATTCCTACAGGGCTATCCGCGACATGTTTTTAGATCAAAAACGCCTACTAACAGGAACCATGTTACGAATTAGGACGTAACGCCGATGGGCTAAAACACGACGGCCTCCGCCAGAAGTGTCCTAGGAACACGTCGTGCAGACCACAAGAATGTTCTTGGAACACCCTTCGGTGGGCCAATAGGCAAGCCAGGACGCCTCGCCACTGCATGAGACACCTGGGCCCGTCCTAGAAAACCTCGGAGGCCCCTGGGCGCTCCTCCTCAGGCTCGCGTCGCCGCGGCGGGGGCCGCAGCTCGGCAAGCCTGCTACATCCCGGCGCAGCCAAGTTGGAGCCAGGGGAGGGAGCAAGACGGAGCCGGGACAACGAGAACATCGACCGAGGATGGATCCAGAATCTCTGAGATTCGGCGGCTCTGAAAAATGCCTCGGGCACCGCGGCCTTCTCAGGGCGTCCCGGACCGCTCTGGGAACGTTCCAGAACTCGCCAGAACGGACTTATCCTCGTCCTAGCCCCGTCCGGGGGAGGGAAGAGTTGAGCAGGGACCAACCGTCCCAGCATTCCCATAGGCCTACCACGGAATGTTCTTTAAAATCAGATATGTCCCGATAACAAAAACAATGCTTTTAGACCATGACCCAAATGTGTTGAAACAAGGCATTCTCAGCCAGAACTGCTCTCCGGACGTTTCGTGCAGACCACGACAGGTTCTCAGAACACTCTTTGGTGGGACGCTCCGCCGCTGCTCGAAACAGGGAGAAAACGCGAGCCTCCGGTAAGGGACGCAGCTCGGCAGAACCGGGCCGGGCGCTCCCTCCGAGGGGCGGTCCGGGGCCGCTCCTGGGCGGACCTCGGCCAGAGGGCGGCGACGGCAACGGCGGCAGCGCAGGCGGCAGCGCCGGCGGCGGCGGTGGCGGCGGCCGCGGTGGCGACAGCGGCAGGCGGCGGCACGTCCGGGCGCCCCCCGCCGCCTCCGGCCCTGCGGCGGGCGTCGGGCTTTTTTTGGCGCCCTGAAGGCTCGGAGAGGAGGGCGGAGATGGAGACGCCCTCCGACGAGCTTCGCATGTCCACCGCCACCGGCCTCGCGAGTGGGACGCCAGTGCCGCTCCCGAGCCCGAGGGCGGAGGGCGAGGCCGGCGAGGGCGAGGCTCTCGCTGTCAAGAGCTCGCTGGCCTGGCGCACGCCGTGCCATCTGTTGTGGCAGGCTGGGCCCGCGGCCCCTGCTCCCAGGTGGCGCGTGCGGTGGGCAAGGAGGGCGGGGCGGGAGGCTGTGGAGGGAGGGAGACGGAGAAAGAGCTTGAAGGAAGAGGACGAGGAAGAGGAGGAGGAGGAGGAGGAGGAGGAGGAGGAGGATGAGGAGGAGGAGGAGGAGGAGGAGGAGGAGGAGGAGGAGGAGGAGGAGAGGAGGAAGGAGGAGGAGGAGGAGGAGGAGGAGGAGGAGGAGAAGGAGGAGGAGGAGGAGGAGGAGAAGGAGGAGGAGGAGGGAGAGGAGGAGGGGGAGGAGGGGGAGGAGCAGGAGGGGCGAGGATCGACGAACGCACAGGAGGCAGGCACATGGAGGGACGAAGGAGAGAATGGTAGAGTGGAGGAGGACATGAGAGGAGGGATGAGCACACACCGAGGGGGGCGCAGTTGGAGGAAACGCACTTGGGTCAAGCATGTGAGGTGCTTATGGCCTCCCGAGATAATTGACCAGCTCGGCGACGGGAGCTGGAATGGAATATGCCATGCATATGCAAAATACATGCGGCTCCACAGAGGCGCTATCAGCAAGACTGAAGGTCAGATCTGCTGCACAAAGGTATATGACAGAACGAGGGCGGAGACATCCGAACACTACCCGCACCAACCATCAATTTTTCTCAATCGATGGGAGACGGGGATGGGGTTCGGACTTCGTCCCGTGTTCGACGAATTCCGAACCCTACCCCCGTCACCCATCGGGTTGCCTGAACTGGTTATCGGCGAGGGTAGGGTTCGGATTTCGCCGCCGAGGAAAGGCGCCGCGTGGACATCCTGACATTTGCAGGATGCACCGTGGAACCGCCCAATCGTGCCGATCGGGGAGGGATGCGCCAAGCCGCTGAGCAACGCGACGGACCGTTCGGTGTTTTTTTTTTGAATCCGATACGCAGTGGAGGGGGGGGAGAATGACGAGGAAACCGCTCAATACCTACGCGCTCAGCGAGCATCACGCGGAGATGTCCGCTGGGCCTGGGGAAACACAACAACAACGGTACCACTGCACCCTGCCCCTCTCCCAAGGTCCGTTCTGACGAGGATTCCGATGCAGCGTTCAGCCGTTCAGAAATGCGCACACGAAGGACAGAATTTGGCATCGGCATGTTTTTTGTCTCCTCCAGCAGATCCAGCAGAATCCAGGCACTCGAACTAATCGTATCAAACAAAGACATGGTCTGACAACTGCTTCTCGGTGCAACATTTACTCGGCCCCGACTCTTTCTTCCCTAGATCCGACGATGCAATCAAATCCAAACATCGTGAAAAATCAGACTGGAGCCCTTCATCCCCTGCGTTCCTGCTCAAACTTTCGATCCGGACCGATCCGCGAGGGCTCTGGGGCCCGAAACCCGGCGAAATCCCGCCTTTGAAGTGAAGCAAGTGCCACGCCCAGATCGGAAGCCTTTCTGCGGCCCCAACTCTCTGCTCCAGGCCTGGCAGCCGCTCGACGAGCCCCAGCCCCTTCACGGCCGCAGCCCTGCCGAGCGCCTTGTGCGCCGGGGCCGAGCCCGAGCGACTGGCGTGCATCGACTGCAGCAGCGTGCTCGCCGGGGGCGGCGCCAGCTGCTGGCCCGGCGGGCCCGGCCACCGCTTCTCCGCCGGCTGCGGCGGCGGGCGCGGCCGAGGCGACGCGGCGCCGTCCGTCGCGCGGGGAGCGGCTGGCGGCGGCTGCGACCGCAGCGACGGGGCCGGCCGCCGCTTCTCCGCCGGCCGCGGCGGCGGGCGCGGCCGGGGCGACGCGGCGTCGTCTGCTGGCGGCGCGCAGGAGCGCTCGGATCTGGGCGCTGCACGTTTGCACGCCGTGCGGTTTCGGGCCCCGGGGCCCTCGCAGGTCGATCCGGCTCGGGGCACGGCGCAGAGAGGTGCGCTCCGGGGCTCCGGTGATCGTTGCTTTTGCGATCGTGGCAAGTTTTCGCAACGCCGGATCTCAGGGAGGGGGTGCGGCGGGGCGCGGGAGGCGGCTATCTTGGAAGGTTGGGGGCTCCTCAGACGGGGTATTCACTACACGATGTAAATGAGGAGGCCTTTACACACACAGACACACACACAGACACAGACACAGACACAGACACAGACACAGACACAGACACAGACACAGACACAGACACAGACACAGACACAGACACAGACACAGACACAGACACAGACACAGACACAGACACAGACACAGACACAGACACAGACACAGACACAGACACAGACACAGACACAGACACAGACACAGACACAGACACAGACACAGACACAGACACAGACACAGACACAGACACACACACACACACACACACACACACACACACACACACACACATTTTCCTCTTCTTTAAGCCCGGGCGGGGGACCCCCCCCAAAAAAACCAGACTCCCGGGATCTGGGGCTTTGGGACCCTCCGGACGGGCCTCGAAGCGGCCCCCCGGGCCTCGCAAGGCGTTTTGCCAAGCCTTCCCAGCATACCTAGGGAGACCCCCAAGACCCCCAAGACAGCACAAGAGCGCTCCAAGAGTGACCGATGTGACCTCAAGATGGCCCAAGAGGCATCCAGGACGGCTCCAAAGAGGCCTCCAAGAGCACTCCCAAGAAGGCCCCAAGAGGCACAAATCATTGATTTTCTGTTGGTTTTTAGTGAATTTTGGGGTTATCCTCTTTTCGGCTTCCCGACGCTCCAAGACGGCGGTTTTCTGGGCGTCCGAAGCCGCCTGGGAGGCTCCAAAATCGCCTCACAACCATCCGAAAGGGCTTCCAGGCAGTCCAAGAGAGCCCCAAAACGGCACAACACGGGTCCAATGGCCCTCAGAGAGCCCCATGGCGGCCCAAGATGGCCCCAAGACACCCTCCGAAGCATTCCAAATCGTGACCCGGTCGTTCAGGGAGACCGCGGTTGGAGGCAAGGTGGCCCGAGGAAGCCCCCGGAGGCCCTCAGAATACGCCCAGGAGGCCTTCAGAAGGCCTTACGAAAGCCTGAAACAACTTTTGTGAGGCCCCCAGAGGCTCTCCAAGGAGGAACCTTCGCAAAAAAAAGCTGAGGAGGATCGGGAGAATGCGCAGGGTAGGACAAACATGAGGAAAAAGAAGCATGGAGGAAGGATAACGCATAACAATATTATAGCGGCGATGCCTGAAAAGGCAAGAAGGAGTTATCGCTAAATTGTCGGCTTGACCTTCCTGCTAGTCCGCCTGCATACCAAACTTCAGGGACCAAGGTGCATGGCGCGAAGCGCCACTGCAGTCTTGTATGTATGTATATGTGTATATGCAAGACTGTGTGCACGTAGAGGTGCATGTATCCTGTAACTTTGGCGGGAAAGGCTCGGGGGGTCTGAGAGGGCTGCTCTGAGGGGGCCTCCTAGGAGAAGGAGGCACCCCCGCCTCAGAAGGCCGCCTCCCCGATCCCCCCCCGCCCACAACCCCAAACATCGAAGGTTGGAGGGTGAGATCGCAGTGGGACGGAGACCCCCAACTGGGAAATCGTTTCGTTTCGTTCGTGTCGTGCGTGCGGGCGAGGCGAAGCTGCGTGGGCGCGCGAGAGGAATGAATCCGCCGTTGCCAGGGCTAAAGCAAGACAAATGATTCTCCGTCCATCCGTCCGTCCGTCCGTCCGTCCGTCCGTCCGGCGGTGGCCCTAGCGACGCCCCGCGGTGTCCCGTGGTGTCCCGTGGTGGCCCGTGGTGTCTGCCGTTGCTAGGGCGCAAGCAAGACAAATGATTCTCCGTCCGTCCGTCCGTCCGACGTCCCGCGGTGTCCCGTGGTGTCCCGTGGTGGCCCGTGGTGTCTGCCGCTGCTAGGGCGAAAGCAAGACAAATGTTTCTCCTCCGTCCGTCCGTCCGTCCGTCCGTCCGTCCGTCCGTCCGTCCGTCCGTCCGTCCGGCGTTGGCCCTAGCGGTGTCCCGCGGTGTCCCGTGGTGTCCGCCGGTGCTAGGGCTAAATCAAAACAAATGTTTCGCTCCCGTCCGTCCGTCCGGCGGTGGCTCGCGGTGTCATGCGGTGTCCCGTGGTGTCCACCGTTGCTAGGGCGAAATCAAGACACATGGTTCTCCCCCGCCCGCCCGTCCGTCCGTCCGTCTGGCGGTGGCTCGCGGTGTCCCGCGGTGTCCCGTGGTGTCCCGTGGTGTCCAGTTGAGTGAGATCGATCATGAGATCGATGTGGTGCCCCGAGGTGTCCCGTGGTGTCCCGTGATGTCCCCCAAAACGAGATCGATAGTGAGATTGATAGTGAGATCGACAGGTGTCCCGTTGAGTGAGATCGATAGTGAGATCGATGTGGTGTCCCGAAGTGTCCCGTGGTGTCACGTCGAGTGAGATCGATAGTGAGATCGATTGAGTCAGATGTTGGTTCCGTCCGCATGGCGGCGCCGCACCCATTTCGGCACACCCCTCACACGTTTCGTGGCCCCATAGGGAGCTCCACCGAAGGCCCCAGTGGCTGCGTTCGCATGGCGGCGCCGCATTTCGCACACCCCTCACACCCATTTCGGCACACCCCTCACACGTTTCGTGGCCCCATAGGGAGCTCCACCGAAGGCCCCAGTGGCCGCGTCCACATGGCGGCGCCGCACCCATTTCGGCACACCCCTCACACGTTTCGTGGCCCCATAGGGAGCTCCACCGAAGGCCCCAGTGGCTGCGTTCGCATGGCACCCATTTCGGCACACCCCTCACACGTTTCGTGGCCCCATAGGGAGCTCCACCGAAGGCCCCAGTGGCCGCGTCCACATGGCGGCGCCGCACCCATTTCGGCACACCCCTCACACGTTTCGTGGCCCCATAGGGAGCTCCACCGAAGGCCCCAGTGGCCGCGTCCACATGGCGGCGCCGCACCCATTTCGGCACACCCCTCACACGTTTCGTGGCCCCATAGGGAGCTCCACCGAAGGCCCCAGTGGCTGCGTCCGCATGGCGGCGCCGCACCCATTTCGGCACACCCCTCACACGTTTCGTGGCCCCATAGGGAGCTCCACCGAAGGCCCCAGTGGCTGCGTTCGCATGGCGGCGCCGCACCCATTTCGGCACACCCCTCACACGCTTCGTGGCCCCATAGGGAGCTCCACCGAAGGCCCCAGTGGCTGCGTCCGCATGGCGGCCCGCACCATTTCGGCACACCCCTCACACGTTTCGTGGCCCCATAGGGAGCTCCACCGAAGGCCCCAGTGGCTGCGTCGCATGGCGGCGCCGCACCCATTTCGGCACACCCCTCACACGTTTCGTGGCCCCATAGGGAGCTCCACCGAAGGCCCCAGTGGCTGCGTCCGCATGGCGCGCCGCACCCATTTCGGCACACCCCTCACACGTTTCGTGGCCCCACAGGGAGCTCCACCGAAGGCCCCAGTGGCTGCGTTCGCATGGCGGCGCCGTACTTATTTCGGCACACCCCTCACACGTTTCGTGGCCCCATAGGGAGCTCCACCGAAGGCCCCAGTGGCTGCGTCCGCATGGCGGCGCCGCACCCATTCCGGCACACCCCTCACACGTTTCGTGGCCCATAGGGAGCTCCACCGAAGGCCCCAGTGGCTGCGTTGGCATGGCGGCGCCGCACCCATGTCGGCACACCCCTCACACGCTTCGTGGCCCCATAGGGAGCTCCACCGAAGGCCCCAGTGGCTGAGTTCGCATGGCGGCGCCGCACCCATTTCGGCACACCCCTCACACGTTTCGTGGCCCCATAGGGAGCTCCACCGAAGGCCCCAGTGCTACCGCCCTCATGCGTCCCGTACGCCCAGGACAGCGTTTCGTGGCACGCCTTTCGTGGCCCCATAAGGAGCCCCACCGAAAGCGTCACCCACAAAGCGTTATTCACAATTGCATATGGTTGGGTCCTTCGCCAGGATAATTGTTTTGAATCCGCGGCCACAGAGGCCCCCGCCCCTTCGCTGGGGATACTTCTTCGGATCCGTCTTGTATGGGCCCGCGGAATGTAGCACAAAAGCGTTGAAACTAACACATCGCCGGAGATCAGGGAAGGCTACTCCCCGGACCTCTCCCAGGATGCGTTCCGACTAGAATATCGAAGCGAATGCAGCCGTGGCAAAGAGGGAGCCCCTCAGGGGGCCCAAGAAGGCGAAAACGAGTAAAGTGTAGCGTTCTGTGGCAACTCTTGGGGGCCTTCCATTTTGCTGGCTCTTGCGAAGCGGCCCGAACCGACGCGAATCGGCACACATCGATGCGTCGACGCTTTCTCATCGACGACCAGACTCTAGCGCACGCTGAGGCACTCCAAAGACGGAATGTCGAGGCTCCCACGAGATGCTACCGAAGTGCAGCCGAATCTATGATCAAAAAAACATACTTTAAGACATCTGGGCCAGATTCCTGGACATGTCTCAGCACACACCTGGGCAAAATTCTGTTCTCATTAGGGGGCGAACATGCTCAAGAAACCAGGCCAGCTTTCCGGCAAGTTGGGTTAAAAAAACGCTGGCCCGGATGTTGGGGAGGAGGTCTCTTAACCAGATGCTGTACTTCAAGGGTATCGGTAACTTATCCTGGGATCTTTCAGGACGAATGGTGCCATAATGCAGTTTGCTCAGGGTGCGTTCCAAGAACTCCAGAGCGGCTCGCGGCCAACGTGCCTGAAGCCCCGCGCCCTTCATCGGAAAAAACGGCACGGCAACATTTGAAGCCAGAGTACGTGGGGGTAGCACAAATGAAGGGGGCTGGAGTAGGTGAATGAGTACTTGCCGTAGTTTTCGCATGGATGCGACAATGCGCGGTCTGTAAAGGCGTCCCTTGCAATGCTTCGTGGCCCCCGTGAACAGTTCGCGCGCCATAGTTCGTGCAGGCGAACTGCTGCACCTCCCACCGCCCTCCACTGGCGTTGCCCCCAGCTTGATTCTGGGCAAAGGGGGTCTTTCGCCATGGGATCGCAAAAAATGCAATAGTTAATCCTGTGGCTGGCCTCTCTCACGGACCACCTACGCCAAATGCAACGCACCCTGGCCGCATCCAGCACGATCCAGCAAGAACGACTGCACGAACTATATTGCGCATATGTTTGTTGAGGCCCCCGTTGCAAAGGACGCACAAGCCCGAGTAGAGTAATCAACACTTCCTGCTCCTCTGATCATTAACAAAAAAGGCACCCAACCCTTTAGGAGGGGACCGAAGCTAGGCGGGTCAGACATATCAGGGCTGGTTTTTTTCCTGCAGAATTATCGAGCCGAGCCGCCCAGATCTACTACCCCTGATGCATCGACGGGGACCTCAGTGAGGCCGCGCCTTCACTGTAAAAACAGTGTTTGTTTTGAAGGCAGGCCTGCCTTCCAAACATTTACTATCCTCGACGCGCTGAGATCTGGGGCCCGCGCTGCGCGCCGCCGAGTCCAGCGAGGCGGGGCCGTCAGCGCCCGAGGCCGCTGCGGCGGGCGGCGGCTCTCGGGCGGCGCGCTCCGCCGCGCTGCGGCGGCAGCGGAGCGCGCCGCCCACGCGCGCGGGCCGGCCGGAGGCCGCCGCGGGGCTGAGCTGCGGGGCGGGCGCGTCCGTGCGCGAGAGCGTCCTGCGAGTCACAGCGCCCCCCCAGCACACTTTTAGGGGCCACAGCCCAGAAGCAGCGTCGGGCAGCCTGCAAAAAAGTATCGGAGGAGCGTGGGACGAGTATATCGCCTCCCAGGGCCCGACGCGTGAAGAGCCTCCCGTTTCGGCACGTTCCTGGTGCTCGAGATGCTTCCTGGTGGTCAGGGCTAGGGTAGGTTGGAGCATCATAACCTGCGCGGCGGGGCTTCGATGTGCAGAGCCGCCGCACCGCGGGATCGATCCTCGGGGACCGCGGCGGGCGGTGGATTTACGGTGGCGGCAAGTACCCCCCACTGCCGAAGCTCAGGCGTCCGTTTCCCGTGCATGTGTCGGCTCCGTGCACGTTTTCTGCTGCTCGGTGATCCGAGCAAGCTGCTGGCAATCTGGGCCAGGCCCTCTTCGGGGGGCCCCACGAGAGCTGAGGGGAAGAGCGACTAGCACAGTCGGGCCTAGGCCAGAAGAACATCCCTCAAGAACCCGAAACCCTCTGCCTGCCAAAGCGCACAGAACATCCAAGGGTACCCCCCCCAGAGTGCAGAAGAACACCCAACAACACACGAAGAACACAAGGGCACCTCCCCGAAGCGACCTCGATCTTATACTTAAGTCGGGCCTGTCCCCCACACAGACCGGCTTTTGGAGAAAAATTCAGAAAATGGTCAAACAATACCCCAAATACCCAAACATGGTCAAACAACATCTTCCCACAACTGTATTTGTAGTATTCTTGAAAATTCCTCCTGTAGAGGGACAGGCCCAACTTAACCCTGTGCGGGCGAGGAACTAAGACCCGAGGGGGTAATAAAGTTCGGGAGTCTGGCGGGGATAATCAAGGATTTTCCCAGGGAAGGTGAAGTTATGATGATGATGATGATGATGATGATGATGATGATGATGATGATGATGATGATGATGATGATGATGATGATGATGATCATGATGATGATGATGATGATGATGATGATGACGATGATGATGATGATGATGACGATGATCATGATGATGGTGATCCTGAACGCTCGGCACAAGACTGACTCGAGAGATCTAAACTGGTGAGAATCCCACAGCCCTGCCACACGCTCGTAACTGCGGAAGCTGATGTGGCGAGACCACCATGGCCATGCTCAGCGTTTTTGATGCTGTTGCTGGTCAACATGAGATGATAGCAACTTCGACTCGCAACTTCCCCCGTGGATCAGAAAGTTCGGCCTCCGCGCCCTTCTCCACCATCAAGTCCTGCGGAACGGGGATAAAGAAAAATAAAGACCCGTAAGGGGGGGGGACATTCTTATCGCCCGCGCACGGTCAACCTTCTACCTCGGTCCGACTGT